TTCAACCACATAGATTTCAGGATGGAGCTTTGAAAAAAAAATCATCCTGGTATGAAAATAACACTGAATTTGAAGTCAGACAAAACTGGGTTTTGAATCCTGGCTTTACCACTTACTGAGTGACCTCTGGCAACTTATAAAACCCCACTGAGCTTCAATTTCCTCATCTTTAAAATGGGAATAATACAATTTACCCGTAGGGCCTACTGTGAGGATTGGCAAATGTACGTAAAGCATCTAGCACTAGGCACATCACAGGAGTTTAATACTGTTAGTGGTAGTGGACTTGTCACCATCATCATCAAATAACAAACAGCAACACTGTGCATGGCCTCCCTCTCATCAACTCAGATACTAGTAAAATAAACTAAAGGGTAGAAAAAAATGTATCTTGAGCATCCATGCATGCATTAACTGGTTCTTGGTCACAGAAGGATCTGTGAAGTCCATCCACAGCCTACTTTCTTCCTACACAAAAAGCAAAGCCTGCAACAGAGTAGAAGTAGAATTAGTAAAGAAAGGCTGCTGCCGGCAGCTCACTAACAGTGTGGAGAAGAAATGGAAAGGAGAAAAAACTATAAAAAAAGCAGACGAACTAAGAAAAGCCTAGGGCCATTTACTGTAGAGGCACATAAATGGACATCTTCAGTAACCTGAAAGTATCACTCTAAGCTGAATACTACTGTATCTAAGCTCTTTCCATTAAGTTAGATTCAGTGTACTTTGTAAAAGAAGGCAGAGAAATTTCCCCAAAATGCTTAAAATGTGAAAAGTTTCAGTGCTTAAAATAGGTTTCTGGCTGGGCGTGGTGGCTCATGTCTGTAATCCCAGCATTTTGGTAGGCTGAAGTGGGTGGATCGCCCAAGGTCAGGAGTTTGAGACCAGCCTGGCCAACATGGTGAAACCCCCGCCTCTATTAAAAATACAAAAAATTAGTTGAGTGTGGTGGCAGACACCTGTCCTGTAATCCCAGCTACTGGGGAGGCTAAGGCAGGAGAATCACTTGAACCCAGGAGGCGGAGGTTGCAGCGAGGCAACATCGTACCACTGCACTCCAGCCTGGGAAACAAGAGTGAAACTGTCTCCAAAAACAAAAAGAAAGAAAGAAAGAAAGAAAATATATATTTCAAAGCCAGGCATGGTGGCCTGCACCTGCAGTCCCAGCTACTAAGGAGGCTGAGGTGGGAGTATTGCTTGAGCCCAGGAGTTCAAGACCAGCAGGGCAACATAACAAGACCCTGACCCTTTTTTTTTTTTTGAGACAGAGTCTTACTCTGTCACCCAGGATGGAGTGCAGTGGTGTTATCTCAGCTCACTGCAACCTCCACCTCCTGGATTCAAGCAATTCTCCTGTCTCAGCCTCCCCAGTAGCTGGGACTACAGGTGCATGCCACCATGCCTGGCTAATTTTTTTTGTATTTTTAGTAGAGACGGGGTTTCACGGTGTTAGCCAGGATGGTCTTGATCTTCTGACCTCGTGATCCACCCACCTCAGCCTCCCAAAGTGCTGGGATTACAGGCATGAGCCACCGCGCCTGGCCAGCAAGACCCTGACTCTTAAAAAAAAAAAAAAAGACTTCAATTTGTAGAAAAATTTTATTTATGTGAAAGCATTCAAAGATCAACAAAATTTAGATGAACATGTTTACTGTATAAAGCCATATATAATGGAGGGGAAATCTCTATCTGCTTTATACAGGGAATTATTGGAACAACAAAAACAAAGTAAAATAGTTATGAATTTTCCACTCCCTTTCTTGGGGAAAAAAAGGGATTTCTTTCTTCAAGATTATGTTTTAAGGAAAAATCATTCTAAAGCTGAAATGGAAAAACAAAACAAGTCAGATTACATATTATGTCTTCTCCTTGCCCCCTGGTTTTAACTCTCTTTTTGAAAATTCAAGTTTTCTTTATTCTGTCTTCATTCTATAAAACTAGCCATTCACCTACTAGGAAGAATCCAAAGTGCAATGAAAGAAATGTACAGCTCATTACCTCCTAAGTGGCTTGAACTTAATTCTTCTAATGAGGTGTTAATGAGCAGCTAACGTTCTGTTCTATTATGTCTCTGACTTACACTAAATGGATTCAAAGGTGGCACTATGAGAGACCTGTTTCTGATTTTCTCGTATCTTGACTTTCTGCATCTTGACATGAAGTGATAACAAGCTCTATATGAATTTTAAGCTCTGGGGCAATTTAAAAACTGCAAGGTATCCACTCAAAATTGAGGAGTTGGCGGGGTATGGTGACTCATACCTGTAATCCCAGCACTTTGGGAGGCCAAGGAGGGCAGATCACTGGAATCCTGGAGCCCAGGAGTTCAAGACCAGCCTGGGCAATATAGTGAGACCTTGTCTCTACAAAAAAATTAAAAACCGAGCCAAGCATGGTGGTTCACCCCTGTAGTCCCAGCTACTCAGGAGGTTGAGATGGGAGGATCACTTGAACCCAGGAGGTGGAGGCTGCAGTGAGCCAAGATCGCGCCACTGCACTCCAGTATGGGCAATAAATTGAGACCCTGTCTCAAAACCAATCTAAAACAAAAACAAAACAGAGGAGTCAAAGCAGGCAGTTTTGTGTGGTTTTTAAAAAATTTTTTAACTGACTGTGGAATGTCTTCGTGTTCTAAGTGGGGTTAACAGCAGCTCTCCCCCTAACATCAGTAGAGCACTATGGGGCCAGGCACTGAGCTATGTGCTTTAACCAAATAATTTCATTTTAATGTCACAATAATCTTATAAAGAACGATTACTATTTCTATGTTATGGATGGGTATACCAAGACTTAGAGAATTGAAGAAACCTTGCCCAGGTTTCCAAGGTTAGTAAGTGGAAGAACTGGAATTTGAACTTGGGAGTTAGGTTTAATACGGTACAAAGAACCAGTGTTTTACTTTTTGAGTCCATTTGAATATCTGTTATATCACTAACTGAATAAGACACTGTCTTCTCAGTATACTAAAGAATTTATTTTTATTTGACACGGAGTTTTATGCTTGTTGCCCAGGCTGGAGTATGATGGCACGATCTCGGCTCACTGCAACCTCCGCCTCCTGGGTTCGAGTGATTCTCCTGTCTCAGCCTCCTGAGTAGCTGGGATTACAGGCATGCGCGACCATGCCCAGCTAATTTTGTATTTTTAGTAGAGACAAGGTTTCTCCATGTTGGTCAGGCTGGTATCGAGTTTCTGACCTTGGGTGATCCAACCTCCTCAGCCTCCCAAACTGCTGGGATTACAGACATGAGCTGCTGCGCCCCGCCATACTAAAGAATTTATAAAACACTTAAATAAAAATAGTAATGTACAGTATTTGCTTTTAGAACTTTATTACTTCCTCCCACACTCACTTCTCTGGTCTTCTCCCTTGAAGTCTTAAGTTAGAATTGAAGAACAAAAGAGTAAGAAAAGAGGCAGGCTGAATTACTGATTAGCGTTTTCGCCATCTGAAAAGAACGTGCTGCTGTAACTCTTCTTAGAGATAATTTATACATGTGAACAATTTGTTTCAGACCCTAAGATTACCTTATAAAAGCAAACTTTTAAAAACACTTATTTATTTATTTATTTATTTATTTATTTATTTTTGAGACGGAGTCTCGCTGTCGCCCAGGCTGGAGTGCAGTGGCCGGATCTCAGCTCACTGCAAGCTCCGCCTCCCGGGTTCCCGCCATTCTCCTGCCTCAGCCTCCCGAGTAGCTGGGACTACAGGCGCCCGCCACCTCGCCCGGCTAGTTTTTTTTTTTTTTGTATTTTTTGTAGACACGGGGTTTCACCGTGTTAGCCAGGATGGTCTCGATCTCCTGACCTCGTGATCCGCCCGTCTCGGCCTCCCAAAGTGCTGGGATTACAGGCTTGAGCCACCGCGCCCGGCCAAAACACTTACTTTTAAAAGGTGAAAGGGATATTAAAAGATTATCTGTTCAACTCCTGATATTACAGTAGAAATACTGAGGATTTCCTCTAGTTAATAATTGGGACAGGGCCAGAACCCAGGTCCTTCAAGGCCTAACTTGACCTGTAGCTCCTGTAAGACTAGTCCTCAATTTGCAGCACTAGGTGGCCTGTCTCTGGCTAACAAAGTTTGGATCTATCCATAGATTATTTTATTTATTTTTTTTGAGACGGAGTTTTGCTCTTGTTGCCCAGGCTGGAGTGCAATGGTGAGATCTCGGCTCACTGCAACCTTCACCTCCCGGGGTTCAAGCGATTCTCCTGCCTCAGTGTCCCGAGTAGCTGGGATTACAGGCATGCACCACCATGATCGGATAATTTTGTATTCTTAGTAGAGATGGGGTTTCTCCATGTTGGTCAGGCGAGAATATTATTTCTCTCTGCATGTGAAGGTAACAAGGAGAAAGGACACATATTCAGAGTATAGCCAAGAGTGGTCTAATAGAATATGTCGTGTAATATGAAACACAAAAACGAGACCAGCTTCTACCTTTAACAGAGACTATGATTCAAAGCACTTAACCCTTTGAGAATTTTCTAACTCCTGTAGAACCATTTCATGTTTAAGTCCACTCTCATTCAAACACTTGTCAATTCATAATAAAGATAATATTCTTATTTGGATTTGTTTCCAGTCTAATCTTTCTATACCAAGTTACTCAGATAAGTGTGTTTAAGGCCAAATACCTATAGAAGTCATTACATTTTACTTGGCTGATATCTTCACAGTTCTAAGAATTATAGATCTTTTGAATTCAATGTAGTACAGTTACAGGCTGCAATGATTGTGTAGTTTTGTTAATTATAAATAAATAGATGAAATACTTTAGAAAGCTTGGACTTCATTTTAAAGTTCTAAACTGGCGTGAAAGACTGGAGAGTTACAGCAATGCTTCATCAGGAACTCATGTGGATGTCTTATGACATATCAAAAGTGCTCTGGACACTCTAGAGAAAGACAAAGACTTTAAAAAGTCATTTCCCCATATCTAAAGGGAGGGGAACCCTACACAAATAATTTCAGATATTAATTCCACGTGACTTACCTATATCGCTCCTCCTGTAAGGTCTGCATTATTAAGGAATAGTCCCTCTGATAATGTTCCTTAAGAGTCTCAAAGGATTCCTCTAGTCTGGCCTGGGTTTCCCGGATCTCCTGGATCTCATGTAGTAGTGCATCAAATCCTGAGCTCTGCATGTCCAGGGTGTTTGTTTTGGAGCTGGATGCTCCTACAGCGATGCCCCCTGTGGTGCTGTTGGCTCCCACTGAGCCTGAAGTGGCACTAGAACAATCTTCTTCACTACCATATTTTGGGCTAGACTGAAAGTTCGAAATCACTCCCAAAGCCTTCCCCGCATCATCCACTTGCCCTTCCTCTAAAGAGTCCTTCAGGTTGGGGATGTTGTCTGCACTGCCAAATTTGTTCCGAATGAGTGAGGCAATCTCTCTGGGCTTTGAGACTACAGCGCCTGCTGCTGAATGGGTGGCTTGGGAGAAGCTGGAAAACCCACCTTTGACACTATCCACCACACCTTCACTGAAGCCAGTCACCTTTGCTCCCACATCCTTCAGACCCTGGTGCATGTCCCTGAAGACATCCTTTGGCTGCCGGGGGATCCCATTCTGCTCCACCTCTCTGAGCTTCCTGTGGTAGTGCTCAAGTTTCTTTTGCAGCTGGAGGATAGTTTGGGCCGATTTCTGGTTCTTCTTCTCAAAGACCTGCTTGATGCGGGCAGCCTGCTGTTTGTCTGCGCTGTTGGCAAGCTTCAAGTATTCAGCAACGTTGTCGTCCCGGGCTGTTTGTGCAATCTTGATTTGTTCTGTGAGCTTCAGGATCTTCTGCTGCAGGTGAGCAATGGCAGCCTTTGTGCGCTGAGGGTCTGGTGTTCCATCCACGGAGTCTGTGTGGATGCTGCCATCGGTACTGGAGGCCACTGCACTGGACGTTTGGGCAAGGCTGCTTACTTCCAACCGTTCGATCTAGTGTAAAAACAAGAGGTAGATGTTAGAAGCCCAAGAGGACTACGTCTCCAAAATCAATGGGCCAAAATGTATTGTAAATGTATCTACTCTCAAATCTCAGTAGATAAACGGACCTATAATTCCCCCTTGTCCTATGCAAGCCCTGTCTCCCTCTTATATAATGTCCTCATACAAGTATACTTTAAGCAAAACAGATATATGAAAAAAGATCTGCACAAGATATAAGCTGGCAGATTCTTCCTTTGCTAGAGGATTTTTCAGTGTTTCTTCACACAATAACACTCCCTTAGTGGGTTTAAAGTATGAAGTAATTCACTTTCTTTACACATAATTTTTATTCAGAAGAACATCTATGTAAAACAAGTTGTATCTCCATTCCAATATAATCATATGAAAACCCTTTTGGTGTTCAGACATCTCTGTAATTCTGATCCACACTTATAGATTATGGTCACCTAAAAATGTTGGCAAGAATAGGTATGTTACTGGCTAGATATAAAAACGCAATTTTTATCACAATGATTTTTATCCAAATTATGTCAAGGGTGATGGATCATTCTATATATTCTAAGGGCACTTAAGTGGCAGCTGGAGATGGTTGGAGGCAAGATGGGAAGGTACTGCTGAAGGTGGCAAAGATGAATGTTACCAAATCAAAGGTGATAACCCTGAGCAAGAAAACTTGAAAACTCAGGGACAGGAACAGTAAGAGCTAAGTTAACAAGTCAGGGACAAAGGTCAGGTCTTTTGGAGCCCAAATTTTGTGACTTTTATTCAGTAAAAGGTTTTTGTTAGGCAAGGGACTCCAAAGCACATATACTTTAACCCTTTCATGTGGATGAGAATCATTCAAAGGAGTTGAAGAAAAAGACAAGATACTCAGATTTAAAAGCATAAATGTTCAGTCTTCAACATAGTTAAATCTGGGGAGGTCAAGTTTCTCAAATTCAGGAGAAAAAAATCCTTTAGTAGGTCATCCCTGGGTGTGGCTTGTTGTGGTAAATTTAAGTAGTGCCCAAAGAAGAAGGCTCTAGAAACTGTTCTTGGCCAGGCACAGTGGCTCATGTCTATATTGCCAGCGCTTTGGGAGGCCAAAGGAGAAGGATCACTTGAGGCCAAGCGTTTAAGACCATCCTGGGCAACACAGTGAGACCCCCTCTCTACCCAGTTTTTTTTTTTTTTTTTTTTTAATTAGACAGGTATGGTGGCACACACCTGTAGTCCCAGCTAGTAGGGAAGCTGAGGTGGGAGGATCACTTGAGCCCAGTAGTTCCAGGCTGCAGTGAGCTATGATCGCACCACTGCACTCCAGTCTGAGTGACAGAGCGAGACCCTGTCTCTAAAAATAACAAAACAAAACTGCTCTCTGTTAAGCAGTAACAGAGTAATGAGTAATGAGTAATAAAATAACCTTCTTAGGGTAATAAAAATCCCCAGTACAAGTGCCAAATTACAATCCTTTTCTTGGTTCCCATATTAATCTGTACCAGGTAACAATTTGCTAGAAAGAACTATATACAAGGTTACCTTCTTCCTCATATTTTCATGACAATAATGCAGGAAGTTTGAAATACTTATGAAATGCCAATAATTAACCTAGGGATAACATCTTCTTTTTTTCATCTGGGATGTATTACCTCAGTTTGCCATCTGAGCAGTAGCTATGCTGATCTCTGAGCCATAAAACACATTTAGTTCACTACCGAATTCAATATATTACCACTGATGTGAATAAAAACATTACTTTCTTTCTAGATGAACAAATGAGAAATACTGTGCATTTAAATAAAATCAAAAGAGAACTTAATACTGAAATTAATGACAAAATAACGTTATGCTCCACTAGTTAATAAAAGAGAATATCCGGAATAGTTACTAGCACAATAACTGTTTTGTGTCACTTCTTCCTTCTGCCCAATTCATCTTTTGGTGCATGCTAACAAGCAGTGGAATGGCCAGACACAGCAGAAGGGAGGAGCAGCCAGAGTGCCAGATAACCAAGGTGCCAAGAGTTGCAACAAGGGCTCCTGGAAATCCACTTTATTCAGTGCCCAATGTCTTCTAGGTTGTACAAGGTTCTAATTGTTACATTTTCTTTCTGAATGAGATTTCAGATCCTTGACCTTGATGAGTATTTATGTTTAATAATTAAGCTCAAAATATACCACAACATAAAGGAAAGCAAACATAAGAATGTCACTAGATCCAAGACTCTAAGCTTCTGCATGCTCTAGTTATCCCTCTCTTAGGTTCTCTGATATTAATATGAATATTTACATGCAATCTGTAGACTAAAGAAGTGTAACTGTGGCCAGGCACAGTGGCTCACACCTGTAATCTCAGCACTTTGTGAGGCCAAGGTGGGAGGATCGCTTGAGCCCAGGAGTTTGAGAACAGCCTGGGTAACATGGCGAAATCCCATATCTACAAAAAATTTAAAAATTAGCTGGGCATGGTGGCACGTGCCTGGAGTCCGAGCTGCTCAGGAGGCTGAGGTGGGAGGATAGCTTGAACCTGGGAGGCAGAGTTTGCAATGAGCCATGATTGTATTTGATTATATCTCTAAAATGGAAAAAAAAAAAATCTCTACACTAAACTTTCAACATATAGTCACATGCTGCATTATGACATTTCAGTCAATGATGGACTGCATATACAACAGTGGTTCCATAAGACTATAATACCAGATTTTTGCTGTACCTTTTCTGTTTAGCTATGTTTAGATACACAAGCACCACTGTGGTACACTGCCTATAGTATTCAGTACAGTAACCTGCTGTACAGGTTTGTAACCTAGAAGCAATAGGCTATACCACATAGCCTAGGCGTTATACCATCTAGGTTTATGTAAGCACACTCATTGATGTTCGCACTTTGACAAAACTCCCTAACTGCATTCCTCAGAATGTATCCCCATGTTTACAAGTGAACACATTTCAGATGTGATTTTATTTCCTTATGTAGTAACTGAAGAGATAAACTAGGCTGTCTATAATCTGACTTCTGTCCTACTTGGGCTGTTTGGAGCCATAGTATGTCCTGGCTCCTATTGAGAATCATCAACATGCCTGCAAGAGTATAGCTGATAGAACCCAAGGTCTTCAGCCTCTAAAAAAAACTAACCCATAGCTTCAGCAGTAAGGTAGTCTAACACTGAAACCATGAATCACTGGACTACTGGAACTCCTCCCAATTCTGGCAGAAACAATTTTTTTTACAGGAGGGAGAAAATGGGAAATAAGGGGAGGGGAAGAGAGGAGAATGATGGAGAGAAAGAGAGGGAAGAAGAGAGGAAAAAACCAGAGAAGAGGACGAAGAAGAGTGGGGTGCAGAGGGAGAGCAAAGGAGGAAAGAAAGAGAAAGTTACATTGGATTTCAGAATCACAGGACGGGGAGGAGAACAGCTGCGATATACTCTGAGTTAGGAACAAAGTCCTTAAAGGGGAAGTCCATACGCTAGGCATTAATACTTAGCACTTAGCTATGAGTTATGAAGGCACCAACTGAAAAGTGGTTCCCTTTTTCAACAGCCTTTGCTGGCATATTATTAGGCTGTCCATACATAAAATTAGATTTCTCCTCTTTTTTTTTTTTTTTTTGAGACAGAGTTTTGCTTTTGTTGCCCAGGCTGGCGTGCAGAGGCGTGACCTCAGCTCACTGCAACCTCTGCCTCCCGGCTTCAAGTGATTCTCCTGTCTCAGTCTCCTGAGTAGATGGGATTACAGGTGCACGCCACCACACCCGGCTAATTTTTTCATATTTTTAGTAGAAACGGGGTTTCTACTACCATGTTGGCCAGGCTGGTCTCGAACTTCTGACCCCAGGTGATCCGCCCTCCTCCCAAAGTGCTGGGATTATAGGCGTGAGCCACTGTGCCCGCCATAAAATTAGATTTCTAACTCACTCCAGATAGACAATTAAATCCCAAATATAAAAGGCAAAATTTAAAAACCTTTCAAAGGCAGCACGGGAAAATAAGGAAGGCTTTTCTTAAACATTCAAGGAAAGGCACAAATCCAAAAAATAAGATTATTGAGTCTGGCTCCATATAGTATAGTAGTGAAGCATAGATTCTGGCATAAATGGCTTGGGTTCAAATCTGGCTTTGCTACTAGCAAGTTATGTACACAAGTTAATCTCTGCATCTATTTGTCAACTCTAAAACTGTAAAATGCTAATGCTCACTTTAGAAGACAATTATGAGGATGAAATGGGTCAACAAATATAAAAGGGCTTAGAACAGTACCTGGCACTGAGTAAGTTGCTAGCACTGTTTTTGTATCATGAAAGTGGTTCTTTTAAAAAATTTAAATATTAAGAGATCCTAGAATATATTCCCTTCCAAGATCTTTCTACATTTCAGGCATGAACAAGAGATATGTAAAGAGTCTGAATCAAAGGAATAATGTAATTCAACACTACAATAAAAGTAATATAGTCACCTATGCTAGATATAGTTGGCCTTGTGGCTATACACTTGGCTAGCTAACCTTCCAATTTTAAAAACATTACAGATGTTGTTATCCCTGATTTACAAATGACTTGATTGCCTCCCACCACCAGTTATTACAAGGCAGTATGAAGAAAGCAGCAGCAGTCCCAGCTACTCAACAGGGTCTCTTTTTCTGACCATATCCTGAGGGGCTTTTGTACTCTCCTGTCAGAGTCCAGAGTATCAGTGTAGCAAATACTGCACATTCATAACTCATGTTAGAATTTGTAATTAATTTGTATAGAAAAAGGTAAAAATCAGTCAGTTAAATATATTTTGACTATTTATTATATGCAAGGCAATGTGCTAAAAAGCTAAGGATATGGTCAGAAGCCAGAATTCTGATCTGTTGCTGTAACAGACTATACTGCTTTGTCTGCATTGTATCTTTTACTATTAAGAGAGAGTTTGTCAGACTTAAATTTATCTATTAACTGATCTGAATTAGTCGACAGAAAACAACCCAAGAGAAAATCTAAACAGCAACACCTCAAAATACAGATTA